CACACACACATATATATTATGCTTTGTGGGTTATGCAGTCTGTCACACTTTTTTCTTTCTCCCTCTTTGAAAAACGCTTTAAAAACATAAAAGCATGCTTGGTTTGAGGGACTTACACAAAGGGGTCATGAGCCAGATTCCGCCTGGGAGCCAGTGTGCCACCTCTGCTCCACAGCAGAGCTGTCCAACAGAACTCTCTGTCCAAGTGCAGCCTCGGCCACATGCAGCTGCTTATTACATGAAATGTGGCCCGTGTAACTAAGGAACGGAATGTTTAATTTTATTTAAGCCTTAGATTTAAGTGAGGCTACTGGGTGCACACTGTTCAGAGCAGATCTAGAGTCACCTGAGTTTGCTAATCACAGTGAATAACGGGGTGGCTGCATCCGCCCTGGGAGGACCCCTAGAGCCAGCCCACTGCCCTGAGTCACAGGCGATGCCTCACTCATGATCCACTCGGGCTGCCAGGATGCTGACGGGGAGGAGCCATGTAGTGGGGACCTTGCTGGTTCTGGGAGCCAGATCCGACCCAAAGAAGACAGGAGGTCAGGAACGGGTTTGAATCCAACCCCACACCAAAGAGGGAGGGGCAGGAGGAGGAAAAAGAGATGCAGAGGACTAACCTGTAGACAACGTCATTTGAAGCTGTTTCATCAAATGCAAAATCAAAATAGAAGGTCTGGTTCTCCAGATACTTTGTTAAGTCCACTTTTAATTTGGGTTCATGCACCAAGAGGAGACACTTGTTTGGAATGGAAATCACATCAATTTCTTTTCTGGTCAATTCTGCAGGAAGAGAGTATTGCAGAGGCCACTCCACTCTCTGAGCACAGCGTAGCCCCAGCCTGAAGCCCGGTCCTGACTCAGCAGCTTACCGTGTTTATTTAGTGGCCGTTTCCTAACACAGACACAGATCCTGTGCTCTTCTACCTGCGAGAGTACGAGAAGGGACAATAGGGAAAAGGGGCAGAGCACTGCAGACCCCCGCTTCCTCACTCTGGTGTTCACAAGAGGTTTCAGCATTAATTTCACAACTATTACCAAGGGCCCAGCCAACCCATCATAGTAGGGGTAGGGCAGTTTGTAAAGGTCAGAACTCTCACCTCGACCTCACTAGCTCCAGCCCACCAAAGGATATGTTAAAAAAGGAGTGGAAGGAGCTGGGGGTTTAGCTCAGTGGCACAGCACCTGCCTGGCAAGCGCAAGGTTGTGAGTTCCATTCCCCATACTGGAAAAAAACAACAACAAAAAAAGGAGCGGAGGGTGCTGCTGGGGATGCTGACACATGCTCTAATCCCAGCCCTTGGGAGGCTGAGGCAGGAGGATGAGTTCTAGCCCAGGGTGGATTATACAGAAAGACTGTGCCTCAGAAAAACAAAAAAATTAAAAGGTAGCGTGTAAGTGGCTGGGGGTGTGACTTAGTAGTGGTAATACTTAGTTTATGAGAGATCCCAAGTTCAATCCTTACACACATACACACACAGGGGAAAAAAGGGCACACCTCTAGCGTGAGAGATTCCCGCATGCTTGTAAAAGACAAGTTCTCTGCCCCTCAGTTCTGTACCTACTCAGGAAAGAGAATACATGTCATTTCAATCTACTTACAGGATCAGTCATAGTAAGTGGACGACAGTCTAGAGTAGCCCGAAATTCTTTAATCATCCGGGCAAACTCCCAGTTTGGAAAGCTGTTATCATATTCCTGTTTGAGACAAGAAAAAATGACAGACTGTCAAGATGTACATGCTCCCAGACTTAGTGCCAACGGGCAGCGACTCCAGCTCTGCCCCGTGCTGGCTCAAGGCTGAGAAACCAAGTACAAATCCCTGGGCAGCAGAGAGCCGCAGGGGAGCCCAGGATGCACCACACCACCCCAGCAGGTGGGACAAGGATCCTCCTTCTGCATCTTGGGAGGTGCCGCAGCAGGGTGTCCCTGCAGCACTGGTAGCCAGTGGCAGGGAGGGAGAAGAGGTGACGGCTCAGCCAGCACCACAGCATGCGTACTGTGGCAGCTCGCCACGGACAGCTGGTATCAAGTATTGCTCATCTGAGGACATTCAGATACATTTCTGAATTGTCTACATGTTCTCTAAATCCTGAGATGAACCGCTAGATATTGGAACTGGAGCCTTAGAAATGCTGGGTCCTGACTGTATCCCGCTGCCCATCAGGCTCCAGTGAAGGATGCCTGTCCTAAAGCCCTTGCCAAGGCTCCCAAGGTACCTGGGCTCGCTTTATTCTCATTTCAGAATTCTGGGCCTTCTTCTCTTCCCGTTTGTTCTTCATCTTTTCCATTTCTCTCACGATACATGATTTCCTCCGAACTGGGGAAAAAGGAAGCCGACTCTTTTATCTGCCATGTCAGCTGGCTGTCTGGATGTTTTGCTGAATCCTGGGCCTTTCCAGGGAATAGGCCTTCACTAGATCCTTGCCTTTGCGTGGCTGTACACAAGAGTCAACAGGTGTGACTACTGTACATCCGTGAAGTAACAATTTGCCTAGTTCAGGCTGGACTCAAACTTGTGGCAATTTTCCCGCCTTAGCCTCCCAAGTGCTGGTGTGCTGGGATCACAGGTATGTGCCACCACACCCAGCAGTACTTCAGTTCTGATCCAAACTATATTTCTGTGGCTATTTTCTCAGCAGTCAAAAAAGCTCAAACAGTCTTGCTTGGTCTCAACTCACTGTGGGCTGCTCTTCAGGTGTTGGCTGAAACCCTGGCTGTGATAACACCTCAAATACTTCAGAGGGCTTCTCTCAATCTTGTGAAAGACTGAGTCCCTGGCCACAAGAAAACATGCCCTTGAGGTGATAAAGGATTTGAACTCAGATGCCCAGGCAGGCCAGGTTTAGGACAGATGTTAGTCGTCCTGCACTGGGAGCAGGGCAGCAGGCGGCATGTCTACCTGAGCTCACAGGGTGTGCAGAGGAGCTGCCTCGGGTGGAGTGGCCGTGCGCTTCCACCTCCTCGATGCTCATCGTCAGTGGTATTTCAGGCACTGCGGGGCAGGAGGGCCTAAAGGGCCGAGCTGTGGGGGAACAAGAGTCACTGGCGGGGCAGGCACACCACAGCTTCCTCAAGAGGCCCAACTGCCGGCCCCAGAGCAAGGACTCAAGCTCCTGCAGTGTGAACAGATGTGGTCTCCAGTACTTCAGCTTACACTTGGAATCCAGCCTCCCTCTCTGCAAGGCTAGGCTCCTGGGGTCAAAATACCATTTTTTCTCCCCCCTGAAAACCTTAAACAAAAAAATGCAAAAAACAGTATCTTAAAGAGTGCGTGAATTGCTTAGCACATAAGCATGGGTTCTTGGGCCAGGCCTTTCTACCCAGGCCTTTCTGACTTCTCCCCAGTGCCGGGATTACACACATGTGCCACACCTGGATACTTTACATTATCTATTAAAGGTTGATAAATACTTCGATTAAAATTATTTTTATTTATTTTGTTTGTTTTGAGGCAGGGTCTTGCTAGATAGTTTAGGCTGGCCTTGAACTCACTTTGTAGCCCAGGCTGGCCTCAAACTTGCAGTAATACTCCTGCTTCAGTCTCCCAAGTGCTGGGATTACATGTGTGTGCCACCATGCCTGGCAGATTTTTTAAATGATTTTAAATTGAATGTGGTGGCGCATGCCTATAATCTCAGCACTCAGGAGGCTGAGGCAGGAGGATCACTGTGAGTTTGAGGTCAACCTGGGCTACAAAGTGAGTTCAAGGCAGCCTGAACTGTATAGCGAGACCCTCTCAAAAAGACACCCCCCAAAAAAAAGAATTTATGCTATTAAAAGGACTGTAGAAGCCTCCTCAGGAGGGATGGGATTGCTGCTGCTACTGGTGTTTAGAGCTGAAGCCTGTGTGAAGGGCACTTTTAGGGTGCAGGTGATACTCTTATCCAGGTGTTACGAGTGTGTTTTTGTAAAAACTAAACTAAACTATGTACAAATTCAAGGGTATGTGCATTACCTGCGTACGTGTGCCTGTGTGTGTACAGTACAGTGCTGCAGCTAAGTTTTTTTGGTTTCTGTTGCAGTACTGGAGATCAAACCTAAAGCCTTCCACACGGTTATACAAGTTCTCTACCACTAAGCAGTATCCCCAGCTCTTTCAGTTTTTTTATTTTAAGACAGGGTCTTGCTAAATTACCCTGGCTTGACTCAGAAGCCTCCCAGACTGCTGGTATTGCGGGCATGGGCCACCACGCCTGGCTCAATTGAGGGTTTTTCTTTTGTTTTTTTTTTTTTTTTTTTTTTAGTCTTTTTGAGAGAGGGTCTCACTATGCAGTTCAGGATGGCCTTGAACTCACTTTGTAGCCCAATCTGGTCTTGAACTTGCAATGACCCTCCTGCCTCAGCCCCCAGAGTGCTGGGATTACAGGCCTGCACCACCTCTCCCAGCTTCAATTGAGTTTTTTTGTTTGTTTGTTTGTTTTTGTTTTTTTGGTGCCAGGAATTGAACTTACCAACTTGCGCTTGCCAGGCAGGCACTGTGCCAGTAAGCTATATCCTTGGCCCTTGAATTGAGTTTTAAAACAGTACAATGAGATGATTTCCAGACAAAGGCAGTGTTAGTGGGGCAGTGAGCACAGTATCGGGCCCAAGGACTGGAGGTATCCCAGGGTATCTGGGTACAGGCACAGGGCCTCAAATAGGAAGCGGACCCTCGCTACTCACCAGCAGCTGGAAACTGCTTTCGAGAGTTGGTAGACGCGGGCAGCTCTATCTCCATATCATTCTCCTGAGCGGGGGCTCGTGCCTCTGGGATAGCGAGCATGCGCGTAGAGCGGCTTCGGAGACCTGCAGAACCGAGGGCAGCAGCCAGTCAGCGAGAGCTGTATGGGGCAGGCGCAGGGCAGGAGGGACAAATCTACAAGGTTCTGCACAAGGTAGCAGAATCTTTTCCACTACAGAGAAGCCCAACAACTTCCCATCCCTTCTACCCAAGGGAAGAAACTAAGACCAAATACCAGTGACCTCAAAAATTATTTGTGCGTATTCCAATAAACCCAGGAGTTTCTAGGGTAAAGCTATCTCCCACAAGCCTGCTTGTCTCAAGTAAATAGAGGGAAGGGGCTGGAGGTTTAGCTCAGCGGCATAGTGCCTGCCCGGCAAGCGCAAGGTCGTGAGTTCGATCCCTTGTACCTTGGGGGGAAAAAAAAAAAGAAAGAAAAGTAAATAGAGAGACCTACTGCAAATTTGAAATCATTTCTGTGGAGACAGACCTATTCCAAGTCCTTGAGAACAAGTATCACTGACCTTAAGAGCAGCCATATCTGCCATAGTACTACCTTGACCTACAGTGCTTTGACTTATAAGGGTTTTTTTGTTTTGTTTTGCTATGTTTTTGGTACTGGAAATCCAGGACCTTATGCTTGCTAGGCAGGTGCTTGTGCCGCTGAGCTATAGCCCTAGCCCTGACTTATGAGTTTTTAACTTTATCATGGTATGAAAGCAATGCACATTCATTAGAAACTAAGTTATAGCCATAAGCGGGGGTGTACACCTATAATCTCTGCACATGGGAGGCTGAGGCAGGAGGATTGCCAAGAATTTAAGGCCAATCTGGGTTATAATAGTGAATTCAAGGCCAATCTGGGTTATAATAGTGAATTCAAGGCCAGTCTGGATTACAATAGTGAACTCAAGGCCAGTCTGAACTACGGTAAACCCTGTCTCAAAAAACAAATCTTTTTCTGAGCTAGCAATACTGGGGATTGAACCCAGGGCTTTCACATTGAACTATATCCCCAGCTCTTTATATTTTTTAAAATTTTGAGATAGAATATTGCTAAGTTATTAGATTGTCCAAGCTGGGCTTGAAAGTACAATTCTTGTTCTTTTTTTTCCGGTCTTTTTGAGACAGGGTCTTGCAATGTAGTTCAGGCTGGCCTTGAACTAATTATGTACACCTGGCTGCTCTACTTGAAGCAATCGCCGGGCATGGTGGCGCACGTCTATAATTCTAGCACTCGGGAGGCTGAAGCAGGAGGATTGTTGTGAGTTCAAGGCCAGCCTGGGCTACAAAGTGAGCTCGAGGCCAGCCTGAACTGCATAGGGAGACCCTGTCTCAAAAAGACAAAAAGAAAAAAAAACAAAAACAAAAACAAAACAAACAAAACTTAAGCAATCCTCTTGTCTCAGCCTTTTGAGTGTTGGATTACAAGTGTATGCCACTACACCTGGCTTTTGTGGGTTGAAATAGGGTCTTACTACGTAGTTTTGGCTGGCCTTGAACTCATGGTGATCTTCCTGCCTCATCCCCAAGTACTGGGATTACAGGTTTGCATCATCATCCCCAGTGATTATGGGTATTTAACTTACAGCTGGTTTATCAGGACATAACCCATTGTAAGTTAAGGAATATCAGTCATCCATTTCCTTTATAAGTAGCAGTAACTACTGCAATTTTCCTGTATCACAAATGATTTAGTCGAGCATGGTAGCTCATGCCTGTAATCCCAGCACTTCACAGCAGACACAGAAATGTCATAAATTTGAGGCTTGGGCTACATAGAGAGCTCAAGGCCAGCCTGCACTATACAGCAAGACAGTGTCTCAAGAACACCTAAAATGAATGAATGAATGAATGAACGAATGGCCAGACACGGTGGCACACGCATCTAATCCCAGCACTTG